TCGAGAGGTAGCCGAGGCATCAAGTTGGCCGAATTGCTCGGCTACCTACTCGGCCAGAATGCACGTTCTTTGGGTTCATGTTTCCGTGAATTTTGGGAACCGATATTTGGACGGGTTATTCGCGATATTCCATTATGCGTGCGAACAGTGTGTGTGTGTGTGCGCGCGCGCTTCTAAACGTTCGAACGATTATGAACGTTGTGGGCGCGAACGGGAGAGGAGAATGGAATATATATACCTCGTTACTTCTTTCGTCGCACGAAATTTGGGAAATTTAATAATAGGGGGAAGGCTTCCGTCGCTTTCGAATTGTGAACGCGTACGAACGTTGATAATTAATTTAATAATAAACGCGTAATAATAGGGCAGTCCAGTTTAATTGTTTTCGTAAAATAAACCGAATTGTCTCATTAGCTGTCGGGGGAGAGGGAAATATCGCGTAAATTGCTTTTATTGACTCGAATTAAGTTTCATTACGTTCGAAGGTAAAGTTGGACGAATTTATTAATTCGTATTAACGGTAAGGCTGGGCGAATCGTGTCGATGTCGTGAAATTCTAATAATTAATCTGCGTCTCGTTTCGGGAATAATATATATATATATATAGATAATTTTGTCTTATTGAGAAAATTGTGGATGGGCAATTATTTTTATTATTATCGATTAAATTCGTCGAACGGATACGCGATGTTTAAATCGGTAAAGTTAATATTGCTGGCAAAGCTGGTATGATATTTCGTCGAAAATTAACCGTCTAAATTGTTTCATAAGCATCAATTATTTAATTCTCATAAAAGGAGAATATGCGCGTGCATGATATATTTGATTAAATTTCTCCTCCCCCTCCGCTCGCCAGCAATTCATGATTATAAATAGGTACTAATGTTATGCAAACTGAAATTATAAAATTATAATACCATAACTTGAATGGAATCGCATCCTGCAACAAAAAGTTTGCAACAACACCGTGTACGATCACATTTCCGCGGTTTCAAATTTTATTTACTGGAAAGTTTCGAAATATATCACCGGATTGAAACTTTTTAATATCGATGATGATAATAATTTTAACGAGTCCAAGTCGTTACCACTCTAATATATCAAATTACGTTCTTAATTTAATTTTCCATAATTTTCAAGGTCTTTTTTATCAGCCGGTGGATAAGAATATCGTACAAAGTGCAACGGTAATTAGAAAATAATTCGATACACAAGTTCACCAAAGTCCCTTAATTTCTTCTTAAATGCATCGAACTTGCTTCTTCCTTTAATTAAAATGAATTAATCGAATTTCGTTCGATTCGTCGTATTAATTCCCAACTTATATATTTCATTTACCTTCGATCGTTATTTACAATATATAATAATAGATCGATTAAGAATCAATTTATTTCTTTTGTTACAAAACAATGGGAAAAATCGTAATAAGAAAAATATTGCATCGACATCGATTTCTGCTTTATCTTCCCTCTACGTGTTACAGCATGTGTAAACCTGATAACCAGTCAATTGTTATCTTATTTTTTTAGGCCCGATCATCCATCGTGCGTTTCCATAAAATTTAGCTTTACTGTGGAGGCGAAAAAAAAGAGAGAGAGAGAGAGAAGAAGAAGGAAAAACCGAACAAATCGCGGATAAAAATGGTTGGCGTTATTTTCAATACGAAATTAATAAATAGTACCTAACTCGAAAACGATGCGTGTATTATATATGGAAACGAAATTTTTATCAGGGCACGCTCCTCTGTGTTTGCTCGATTGAAAGTTACGTATGGGTTGACAACGTTGTATTAATGCAAACGTTATATAGCGAATGCTTTCCAATTCGATAAAAATATTTCATTGCTCGCTATTAAACCGGTTATTTTTTTATCCAACCTTTTGATCGATAACGCAAGGCTTTGTTATATACATATATATATATAGATGTATATTTTGCCCTACCATAAGCGAACAAATTGTAGTTTTCAATAGTAACCTGAACACAATACCCGTTTCCATCGGTGAAGCTTTAATAGCTTTTAAGAAATATTGAAAATATTACAATGCTGCATTATCAAGCTAAATGTTTACACGAAATATTTTTAATATCACGTGTATATCAAGAAAAAGCGACGATTGTATTTTTCGAAAATTTCTTTCGCAATTAACAATCCAACGAATCGTGAATGAACGATATTAATGAGCTAAAAAATAGTAAAGTATTCGAAACGATTTCGGTTAAAGATTATTATTTTTCTTCGCGGTTAAAAATCTGAATGATTCGATCGCTTATCCTTACCTCCGCGGTTTTCACTGTCCGCCGGCTTGACTTGAATAGGACGGTTCATCTGCAACGAGAAAAAAAGGGGAAAAATAATTCATCAAAATTACACATCTCTTGTAAAAAATATAAAAAAAAAAAGATTCCAATCTATCATCTCGTACCAAACCAAAAACTACCACCACTCGCTTCTTAATTTACCCCTTCCATCGTCGATCGATTCATATAAACGCGTATAGCGTTTTGCGTTTGGATAGAGAAAGTAATACGTCTATCTCTCTACGTCACTTTGCCCCCTTGTTTAAACACCGTCTCTGCCGTTGACAGGTCCGATTGTCAGAAAATAAAGGTAGCGAATGGAAAACGGAGGAGGCTGGAAAGAAGAAGAAGAGGGATAGAAAGAGAGAGAGAATAAGGGATCCTCCTCTCTCGCCCTTTCCCTCCGTTTGCGGAAAGTGCGGAACTGCGACACTCGTCCTTCCGTACATACACCGAAATCTTTTGGACCGCTGCGAATGGGTCGAGATCCCGGAGAACAAATAACATTGTTTATTTGTCGGACGGGTCGCGCGACCGCAGAGCGCTCTACTTCATTCCTGGGGGATGAGAATGCATGATTCATGACGCGGGGGACACGGGACTGTACTCCGATTCTCTCCTCTCTCTTTCTCTCTCTCTCTCTCTCTCTGGATTTTCGTTCTCGCTTTTCCTTTCTTCTTCTTTTTCTTCTTCTTCTTTTTCTTTTTTTTTTTTTCGAAACCCACCCCTTTTACGAAAGACGCGTTATCCTCCCTCGTGCGTAAACTTTAGAAAGGGACGAGACTCGCGCGTTAGAGATCAAACACGTGTCGCCGTGTAATGTAAATATAAATTTAATTTCTCGAAACTCTCGATCGATGTTATGTTTGTTGATTGTTCGAAAGGAATATTTATTTCATTTCGAGGCGAGCGACGGAAGAAGTAGCAGGTTTCCTCGATAAATTTTGCACAAGAAGAGAATCTTTGTTTCTTTAACTGGGGTAGAGTCGTTTGATACGGCCGAGAATCGTGACGGCCATCTGTCTTCTGACTCGTTGTTTTTTTTTTTCTTTTTCATTATGCACTATCTCCCATAAGAATTGTAGGAGGGAGAGAAAGCCAGCGGGGTAGAAACATACGTGGCAACCCCAAACTTTTTCCCCGTGCATGCACGTCAGATACCACGAGGGGTTGGCTCGCCGAGGGGTCAGTGCCACGACCACGTGGATCTCGTGCAGAAACTATACCCGCCAAGCGCGAGCGAAAGATTTCCGGGTTCAAAGTCCCGGCCACGAACGTACGTTCCTTTTCAATTATTTTCTTTTTTTTTTTTATTCTACTTTTCGAATTCAAATTTTTAAATTCCCATCCCCTTCTCGAACATTGTAAATTCCTCCGTTTATCACATTTCCTAAGAAGAATTTCGAATTGGAAGAAAGATACTTTTACTAAGTAAGTACGTTCCTTTTCAATTATTTTCTTTTTTTTTTTATTCTACTTTTCGAATTCAAATTTTTAAATTCCCATCCCCTTCTCGAACATTGTAAATTCCTCCGTTTATCACATTTCCTAAGAAGAATTTCGAATTGGAAGAAAGATACTTTTACTAAGTAAGTACGTTCCTTTTCAATTATTTTCTTTTTTTTTTTATTCTACTTTTCGAATTCAAATTTTTAAATTCCCATCCCCTTCTCGAACATTGTAAATTCCTCAATTTATCACATTTCCTAAGAAGAATTTCGAATTGGAAGAGAGATACTTTTACTAAGTAAGTACGTTCCTTTTCAATTATTTTTCTTTTTTTTTTATTCTCCAACTTTTCGAATTCAAATTTTTAAATTCGCATCCCCTTCTCGAACATTGTAAATTCCTCCGTTTTCGAATTGGAAGAGAGATACTTTTACTAAGTAAGTACGTTCCTTTTCAATTATTTTCTTTTTTTTTTATTCTCCAATTTTTCGAATTCAAATTTTTAAATTCGTATCCCCTTCTCGAACATTGTAAATTCCTCAATTTATCACATTTTCTAAGAAAAATTTCGAATTGGAAGAGAGATACTTTTACTAAATAAAGATAAGATTTTTAATTATTGGCTCATTGAAGGAAAATAAACTCTTCGTTAAAGGGTTAGGAATTATCCTCGGTGTTACTTACATATTTCATCTAAATTACCTCGCGTGAAAATATAACACCAGGATATATGTATACATATATATAATCATGTTTTAATAAATGGAGATAGTATATCTCATTCGTTCCTAAGTGTAATGGGGCATTAAGCAAGGTTTAACATACATCGGACGCCTGACAACCTGATTTTCACTAATGGGGAATAAATTGCTCCCATCGCACGAGCTCATAATTCCGCTCCCACGTCGGGGGATCGATTAAATTGTAATGTAACTGTCACGAGACACGTCTCAGGTGGAGGAAATCGTCGTTGCTTATTGTTTAACCTGATCCAAAAAGGGGCGAGTTTTCATCGAGAGATTTCCATTTCCATTTCGATTAATAAAAATAAATCGGCGTATTTAACCAAAGAAATTCGATGAGTACGAGGAAAGGAGAGGGGACAGAAACCGGAAGACGCGTGATTCCAGGGATAATGAGGGGGTGGATGGTAAGCGAGGGCAGGTCACTTTAAGCAGTGTCCTCAGGAAATTAAACTTTGAGTCGGGCACCGGCCATTAGGCGTTTGTTGTTGTCTCGTTGTCAGGGGAAACCCCCGTGTCCGTATAGATACTGGAACTGAGATACGACGTTTTGCCCCCCTCTTCCAGGCTCTCCAGGGAAGTTTAACGCTGAACGCATCGTGTAAATGTCACTTACGGCCCAAGGGATCTGTACCAGTCAATAACGATCACCGACCGAGACTTCTGTGGACCGACGGTGGCGGCGCTTACAGACGCGCGCCGATTAATGTAAACGAGTATTAACTGCTGCTCGTTAACGGCAGGGCTTCGTTATGGGCAAACCAACCCGGTACTTGATTAGCGTAGCAGAATGTACAATAGTTAATGATTCCATTGAATCGGTTGACTTTGAGATAGAAACTGGTGGCTCGATGGTGATCAAACGTGATGAGATATCGTACGCATTAAATCTTATCTTACTTTTATTAAATTCGTATTTGAGGAAAGAGATCGATTCGACAGTTGGAATACGTTTATTTTCCATTTTTTATTTCCCAGTTTGTCCTAAACAGGTGGCTAAAATAGAAAGTATACGCGGAATACATTTGATTATTAATCAAGTTTTAATATTTTTTCCCCAGCGCGGTTTTAGCCCTTTTCGCGTGTTAGCCCATCGAGCTCTTAGTTAATTAACGTAGCAGCCACTTTCCAAATTAACACACATTTTCCATTTTAGCTAAATGGATACAAAGTGCATGCCTTGCCACGATATTATTTCATTAGATAACGATGTTTCGTTAAATCATCATCCAATGTATATTCACGCGTTTCTTATCTTTCTCCCGATTTAATCTCTGCAACTGATTATTTTATCGACAAAATGCACCGAGACCTGCTCCTCGAGACACAATATAACGCGTTTACGTCGATTTTCGATCGAAAGTTCTTTCACCTTTAATAAGGCGGAATAAAAAGTCGTGAAAAAAGGGCGTTAATAAGAAGAATGGTAACGACTCATGAACCGTTCTGTAACGGGCTAAAAATATCCCGCCAAGGTTGAGAATCCAGACCAACGTTGAAACGTGGGCCGCGCCTTTATTTAACGATTTTGTTGAGCCGATCACGTGCCGACTCTTCGACAATTCGTGTCATCGTTGGCCATGTGCTGCACTTAGAAAATCGATCCCCTTGAGAGCCACCACTCAAGATGGATGGTAATAAGTAAATGTGTTTGCTCAGCCCAGAGCGCGCATCACGAGCAATTAATTAAGCTCGATTATCTATGTACACTGCGGGAAGCGCAGTCTTGCCCGCCTCTGCCGGATAGATGCTGAGTAATAGCCATATGCTTCAGGAAATATATGTATAATCGTGTAATCGTGTGTCTGTGTTTCGATTCCATTTTGCGGGCTGACGCGTTTCCAACAAAAATGAAACAACAGTGGAGGAACAAAGCGTTTCGAAACAACGCTCGCTTAATAACAAGCGAATACAATACCGATCGAGTTTTTCACACAATTTTCAAAAATGATATCGAATTATGATAACAATATTTTCTATCTAATATTTTCTTTTTCGACGTCAAAAATATAGACCCCAACTTCGATCAAAAAAGAAAAAAAAAAATTCGATATTGCGAGAGGCTCGATCGAAGATACGATCGGGAAATCGATATACAAAACGACGGATTAATCTAAAAATAGAATTTCAACCGGGTATAAAATTGAAACTCCTCTCGAACAATTACAAGGCGAAAACCCTCCTCCTCCTCCTCCTCTTCCTCTCAGGGGGCACGCGCAATTAAATTAACCATATTTATAGCTCTCCCTCCCTCTTCCCCTCTCCTCTCCAGATCTCTCCGGAATATAACCCAATTCTTTTCTCTTACGGAGGGGGGAGGAAGGGATCTACGATTCCTAGAAAGCGGGGCAAAATCCAGATAGGGGATAGGTGGAGGCTGATAACTGCCGAATTGAATGGTGAATGCCGCTTCGGAAATTGAATAAGCTATCGTGTCTGAGCCGAGCCGTCGAGCGAAGCCCTGGTATTTGACCTGGCTGCGTGCAATCAATGTACTGATTGGAGATAAGGGCTCACCCCGTGTAGCCCCTGGCATCCTCCTCCCCCGCCATGATTTATATACGTACGGTCTTCGTAGGCGATGTATTCATTACTTGATTACCCTTCGGCAAGTTAATACCCGTCGTGACCGTGTAACGAGCCAGATATCCGGGGATGCCTTCTACCAGGATCGCTGATCCTATGATCCATGCATTCTTCTCCCTTCCTTCTGAAATTTCTCTCCTCCGAGTAATTATTATCCATTCCTCCGTTTCTCCTCGATTTCTCCACTTTTTCTCTCTTTTTCCTTTCCTCTCTTTTTTTTTCTCATCCGGTTTACTTTACGTTCGTTTGTTAATTCGATAGACCGATAACCCGAGAGATGGGAGAACGTGATTGGATTTGGAATAAGGGGGGTATAACTCGGCAGGACGAGATATCGATTCGGTAAGTGGTATTCAGGTATTATTAGGGAAATTTGTAATGCGAAAATTTGAATGGAGGGATGATTCAGTCTCTTTCGTACATTCATCTTCTCCACAATTGTATCCATTCTCGAAATGGTGAAGAGGAGGGAGTTTTTTTTTAATTAATAAACAAATCAGAGACACGCAAAGAAGATATACAGTTTACAGAGTCGGTGTTACGGGTACAGAAATCGGCGGAGGGATGGCTGGTCTCGAGTTAACTTCGATAATTTGCCGCACGCGTATCCATCCGGAAACCCAGCTCCGCGAAATCTGTACCCGCTAATACGGCTAATTTGTCGACTGCTCCAAAAGCAAATGCACTTCTCCCCGCGCTCGCATCGTCGGATGCCACAGAGGAGGACGAGGAGGAGGAGGAGGAGGAGGAGTGCAGCGGTTCGGATTGCCTCCTAGCATATTACGTCTAAATGGATTCAAGCCGGGCTAATTGGCGAATTAATTGAAATTCCAAAATGAATCGAATCATTTAAGCGATCGAGTTTCGGCTTTCGGTGTACGCCACGATTTCCCTCCCTCTCTCGCCCACCCTCCCCCTTTCCTTTTTCCAAACGGCCAATCGTTGCTATTTCCGCAACACAACCGCCGATCAATAATGAAGCCGTTATCTATCGGAGGAACGATCATGAGAATCATTTCAATCGGAGGGAGGGTACATGGGTATTGTTCCCATCGTGTTGGCCACGTCAATTTTGCCAAATGAATTTCCATCGTATCGCGACGAGTTAGCGAGTTATCACCCCCTCCATTTTTTCGCCCCCCTCGCTTCCTCTTCTGGCGAACAATGCCGATGATGATAACTCGTATTGAAGCTTGGGTCACGAAGTCGTCGTGAAAAAACACGCACCTGCGTCCTCGATTCGATGTACCTGTGCACGCACGCACGCACGCACGCACGCTAGCTTAGGTTAGTTTCATCGTGATTATAAATAGGATTCACAGGGAGCGAACATGGCTGGGTGTTACAGAAATACGTTTACGATGGAGAGAGATTCATTCTCGATTCCTTCTTATCTCTTGGGACTCGAATTCTTCGTTGGAGAGATCAGCAAGTTTTAACAAACACGTGGGTTCGATGTTCGCGATATTGATTCACGATAATACGAATGATGTCGTCGTCACGAGGGTATTGGTGAAAAAAATAATCGTATCCCTGCCCCCTTGTGATCGAAGTTCCAAGTATTAAGCCTCTTACACGCCCTGATTGCCTAATACGAGCAAAGAGAATTGAACCGCTTAATTACAACGGAAGCAAACCTTACCTTTTACCTGCTTGCCTAACGCTCGAGATTACGATCGTTCCCCAGGTATTTTCACGACGACGCACGTTGCGTCGAATTTTTTACGCAACCACGCCACCGAAACACCCGCTC